TTGATGATTGCATAGCCCTACCCGATGGGATTGAACAACAGAACTGTATGGGAAGGGAAGGGATATATTGGAATGAGTAAGATATGTTAATACAAATATATTTTTTAAAAGAAATAAAGAAAATTTGCCATCAGGTTGCTAGCTGGGGGACAGTATCACAGAGACAGCAGTCTCCTATTTCGACCCGCCTCGGTGAGGGGACATCCATGTGGCTGAGCAAATGCATAGACTCCGTCCATACCTGGCCTCTTTTCATAAGCCCTTATATACCACCTCGTGGCGTTGGAACCCGACTACTGAATGTGGTCCTGAGCATGGTTTCAGGGGGATGGAATCTGTCAAGATAACCCAGCCACAGTGGATTCTGACTCAGCAATCCTGTTCAGGGTTCTCGTGGCTTTATCAGTCTTCACAGGGGTAGCCAGCCTTATCTCTATGAATTGGTTTGGAGTTAGCTGGAACTGGTCTTCATATCTTGCTTTCATAAAAAGTTCTCCACTTATATTTAAAAGATTGAAAGCACTTATACAAAATGAATAAGCTTTGTGATGGCAAACACGGGCCACATTATGCAGGTCGTACTTACTAAGGACCGAATCAGCATATTAAGACAACTGTTCTGGATCGCAGGGGGCACATTAGCAAAGCTTCTCTCAGACCAACACCTTGCAAAATGCTTTGCAATCCACCTGTTAAATTAAAAAAAAAAAATCCCACGTTAGAAAACCGAAAATATCTTTCATTATATAGTCAATACTATCTTAGTTGCCAGTTATATAAATTGCACATATATTTGACCAACCTTTATTGTTAGTTGTATGAGTTCTGTGGTAAACGTAACCATGTTACCTTTAGGTTATGTACATAGATTTTTAATAAAACTAGCAATGACTCAGCTAAAAGAAAACGGATCCTAAGTATCCTCAGTAGTATGTAAATTGATCCTTTTTTTTCTCAACTGGCATAACTAGTTAAATATCAATCTTAGGAAAATAGGTCAAATCTAAACGGTCCACAAAATTACGAGAGTGCAAGAAGAAACCCCTAAATTACTGTGATCAGCACCATTTCAGATCACTTACTTCATGCAGTCAGTAAAAAGACTTTCCACGCCAACGGAATGAGCAATAATCAGACATTCTAGAATAGATGCCAGCCTTCCGGGAATAGGCTAAAATTGACAGAAAGTACCACATTTATTATTTTTCAACTTACAGAAGGCTAAAAGCATTTGCTTCACAAAGATGGTTTGATTCATCAGCAGAATATACTTAATTCAAAAGTGCTATTCCCTTGAAATCCGAATCATGTTTAGTTTTACACACTATCATCTGAACTCTTTTAGCTGCCAGAATGTAGTTTCTATTCTCATTTATTTTAGCTTAACATAGAATAATTTCCCGCACATCACATTGCAATACAGATGGTCTAATCTGTTTCCTATAGTATAAATATAACTGTTACGTATATGTGCAACCTCAGATAAAAAGAGAATTTAATTGGATCATTAATTAACATTTTTAAGTACATACCATATATATTTGAGTATAAGCCGATTCGAATATCAGCCAAGGCACCTAATTTTACCACAAAAACTGCATTAAAAATGTGCTGAAAAACTCAGCTTATACACGAGTATATATGGTATATGGGAGTAATGAACAAAAATAAACAAAATGTACCTACAAGACGTGACGGCAACTTGGTGCTCTGGGTGTTAAGCCTCTTGAGTGACACATGGCCCAGGCTATGCACTCAGTGTTGAGGTCAAGTTCCTAAGTACATCTAGTACCCATTTACGTTGACTACAATTCAGCTTCTCTTCTTAAACATCTGTGAATTGTGATTTGGGGATGACACGTTGTACACAGGCAGCAGCCAACTTGTTAATGTGGCCTCTAAATGTAGACTTCTAAGCACGTGCCCTTCTTCTCTGAGAGAAGAGCAAAAGCCTCTTCAGAAACACCGTAAGCACAGTCCTTCTAATAAGGCCCATGATTTTCAATTTTTTTAATGAATTGCTTTAATTTGATTTCATAATATCCTTCCTTTAAAAGTGTTATATTAGTATTTATTTAAGAAATGAAATATAAATGTTTTGCTTTGTATGCTACCAGTTATGTTATTCCCTTTGAGCTAATTAAAAGTTCTCTAAGTTGTCTTAAAACCAGAAATGGTTATCACTGTATATTCTACCAGGTTAAATATTTGATTTCCTGACCCATTTTAGACTAAAGTATCAAATTAGTATGAGGGAAAGGATTATTGGTATCGGCATATTTGTCGACTTAAAGCAGTGAGAAGTCTGAAAAACTGGAAAAGTTAAGCATAAGAGTTAAAATATTCAGCAGTCAAAATTTATTTCATCTATGAATAACTACTCTCTATAACATAATGTCTACTAATTGACACGCAGCTTATTAATAATTTATATTAAAATACTCCTTTGGAGAGGGCCATGAATGGCAGGGTTCACCTTGTTTCACCAAGCAGAGACCAATATGGCAGGAGGGAGATGGCCTTGCCTTGCTTTCATTCAGATGCGGTCGCCTCTGTTGATGTGTGACTCTTGGGGCTGACCGTTCTATTCTAGGCTCTCAGTAGGTAAAGAGTCCCCACTGCCTCCCTGGGGAGAGCATCGTAACATCTGGCCCTGTATCAGTCTCTTAACCCAGCCTCCTGTGATGCTCCTCCTTCCCTCTGGGTCCTGTATCACTGGGGTGTGGGATGAACTCCCTGTAACTTTTTCATTAGACAAAAGTTATCATAGTCCCTTATCACCAGGCTAGTGCTTGCTTCTCTAGCAAGTTCCCTCCTTTAGAAATCAGGATGCTCAATTATGCTCCCATTGGTGTCTGAGGGCAGATGCCAAGCTCTGCCAAGCAATCGCGGACCACCTTCCTTTTGATGGAAGTGTCTGGGTAGGCTGGTCCTAGAGAAAGAATAAAATCCATCTGGGGATAAAGGATGCATCTCCTCATGGAAGATGCTCTTTCCATTTTTAGTCTGTACTTGGGATTCAGTAGCTTTCATTTGGCTGCGAAGGTTGGGTGCAATCTTATGAAGGAAAAGGAAGTCTTTCAGCAGAAGTCTCCATTCTCCACTCCACTGAAGACACCAGCCTACCCGCTGTCCCCCCACTGCCCCCACGCCTTTGCAGTTCTTCTATTTAAAGCGGCTGAAGTAAAGTCATAAAGATCACTGAGGTGATCAACTGTTTCTCAACAAAGCTTGGGGTGACGGGGTACTGGCAGCACTAGTTGCTCCCGTTCTCCGCAGCTTACTTAGCACAGGCGGTTTTTAGCGCCTCCTTCTGTCCGCCGAAGCTTACTTACAGGGCAATAAGGAAAGTCCTGTCTAACACACACACTGACATTTCAATGTCACTGAGACTTTTAAAATTAGGTGAATCAAAATTCATAGAATGCATATTGTTAACTTCTCAGTACCCACCAAGAGGGGAAAATTGATGTAAATAATTTTTTATGACTTGTTTTTGGTTAAATGTGAATATTAGTATATCTTAGTTGTGGAAACATATTTTATAGTCTCAGAATAAAATTAAAACAATGACTTCAGTAAAATAATGAACCAAATGACTCTGAAATACACAGTATTTCATAGTTTTGAGGGAGACAACAGTTACTTTTGCATAAGTTAAAATGAAAAATGGTGTTTCCCAGCAGGACACAGGTGGGAAAGAACTATGGTCTCCCTCCTGTACACACTGTAACGAGAGGTGGTAGGAGCGTGCGCGCCGGAAAAACCACCAGCGGGGCACCGCGCCTCCTTGGTTAAAGGAGAAGCCACTCTGTTCCTTCTTCTAGTGCCCGCTGTACATTCCACCTTTGGATTCTATGAGACACTCTTATTACCTTTTAAAAACTTCCTCCTCAATTCGGTTTTACTTCATATGGCTTCAATTTTGTTCTATGGTGGCTTTTGTTTTGTTTTACAAGCATATACTATGAGCTAGTCCTCAACTGGCATTCCCATTAGGTGCACGGACTTATTATTTTTAGTACTTAAAGTACTTCTAAAGCACTAGTTATTTACTTATCCGGTTAACTTTTATTGTAAGCTTATTTAGCCCCCGAGCATACTTTGTTGCTTCTTCAGTTTCTTCTGGGATATCGTTGTCTCCTGTGCAACCTCCTCTTCTCGTATAGGAACGATCTGGTCCTTCTCGGGCGGGGTCATCTCAGTGTGGCAGGGGGAGCTCACGGATGGGTTGATGTGACCCTGAGCTCTGTCAGTCTGGCAGTACATCTTGAGGGCTTTTCCACTTGGATGTGCCCAATGACCAGAGAATCCACATCTAAGCCCTTCAATTCAGCATTACCACCTGCAGTTTTAAGCTTGTGCAGTAAAAATTCAGCCCTCTTTTTGGGTCACTGATCTTGGGCCCAACCCGCTTGGCCTGAGCACCCCTACCAACGACAGCATGCAACGTCGAGGACACACACTGCTTCTGCAAAGTGACATCTTTCAAATACTGGGTGCCTTTTCAGAGAGGCATACCCGTGATAGCCTGGGCAGTTTCATGGGGAGTTGTTCTCTCTTTCTTTTTTTATCCGTCATTTTATTGGGGGCCTGTACAGCTCTTATAGCGGGTATTCTTCAAATGGACCCGAAGATCTAACCCTCTTGATTTGCATGATTTTGTGGGTCAAGTGAGTAGCCAACCATGATGGCAGAGCACCTCAGGCTGCTATGGGAGGAGCTAAAGCATGATTTATTATTGGAGTTAAAAATTACCAGATAATGAAGAAGGTGGTTGGTACCCAGCTATCAGAAAGAATTGTATCTGGGGTCTTAAAAGGTTGTCTTAAAATAAGCAGTCATCTAAATGAGGTGCCAGCCAAGTACACATGGAAGAGGCATGCTAGCCTGTGTGATCCAAGGACTGTAAATAATAAAATCAGAGATCAGAGTAGGGAATAGTAGTACAGCTTAAATTATGAGCACCTGACAAAAGACAGTGAAAGCCCCAAATCCACTTGCAGAGTCCCCACGGAGATTAAGCCTCCCCTTGGAGGAGAGGCTTCCCCTTGGACAATTGATGAAGGGTGTGAATAGCCTTGCCCTTATACAGAGTGCATCAGAGAGTGAATCAGTGCAGGTATGATTAGGTTAAATTTTAACATCTTATAATTTAGTTTCTCTTTTGACCCACTTTTAATTTGTTCTAGTTTTTATTACTTTCTGCTTTCTTTTGGATTGAGCTTTTTCTGTGTTTTGTTATTGCTGTCTTGTGTGGGATTTTTGGTATGATTTTCGTTATATGAAATCCAGGATCGGTAAATCTATAGAGACAGTAAGTAGAATAACAGTTTCTTAGGGTTAGGGCAGGGAGACTTGGGGGGAAATGGGGAGCTGATAACAATGAGTACAAATGTAGAAAAGTTCTAATGTGGATTGTGGCGATGACTGCACAACTCTTCTTGATGCAAATGAACTACTGAATTGTATGACATGTGAACTGCATGCCAATAAACCTGTTAAAACTACCAGATAATAATGAGTGATTTTTTAAGCACTGCGTAAAAAATTTCTGAGATTCAATAATTACCTTTTGAAAGAAATTGCAGTAATCTCTTCTTAAAATATAGATTGCTACTTCTTTTAATCCTTCCAGTCCATACATATCTGCCACACTGAGTATCTGACTGAAATAAAAATATATATACTGCTCATTTTCTAATTAAAAAAATTATAAGCAAAATACACAGTAGTTTCTTGATAATACATAATCCATTTTTTTAATTGAATGATTTTAATTCTAACTTTTTTGCCCTTCAAAACAAACTTTATTGATTATAAAAAGTTTATGACACAAAATTAAAAGCACAGTCACATGATTTGATTAATAGAGAATAACAAGAGGTAAATTTAGAGACTTCTCAACTTCCTCTCATATTCCCAGTCCTGGAAACTATCCATTCTCAGCGCAGTAAAAGTTTTAAAAACCTCGCCAAAAAAATTGTATAATCAAAGTGTGAGGGAGTCATCAGTTCATTGATGCTTATCATACTACAAATACCTACAGATGACTCTAAGATTGTAAATAGCAATTGATGACGAGGAGTGTCCTTTGCTTCTTAATTTTGGTAAGTATTTCGGACACCTACATATACTTTAGGAACTTTGGAAATCTATAAGCTTTGAGAGCATGAAGAAACTCTACATGAGGTTCCAGGGGGGTAAGCCTCAGCATTCAATCCCTTTAACTCATGGCACTTTGTCCCAAGAAATATACTACTTCATCAGTTTGTGATTGAAGGCACTAGTGAATATTTAAAATTAAAAGCACAGCCTTCATCTGTCTGTTATTAGAAAATCAGGAAGAGGGGAGGGAGTCTGAAGCACATGAAGAAGCTTAGCATGGAATTTCACCCAACAGTAGGGTTCTATAGAACATTTTAGAGAACACTTCATTTTAGAGAACACTTGAGACTCAAATCATTGTTGGCCTTTAAGATGCCTATATTTCATATGTCTATATTTCTCAATAACATTTAAGGGTATTCTCCCTTTTGAAATTTTCAGGATGACTTTTTAAGTGAGCCATTCTGAAAAATTTAAAAAGTAAAGTAGTAAAATGATTATTCAATAAATCATGTAATTTTTTAAAAATCTGTCACTGATTTTCCAAAACAAGTTTTTTCTTCTTTACTATAAGCCTAATAAAAACTTTTCATAATCCTATTATTACTGGGAATTGCCAAATCATCTTTTCTTGTAAACAAAGTATTTTTACTTGCTTACCTTTTTTTTTTTAACATAGTCCTCAAACACACCAAGGATAGAGCAAAATAGATAATGAAGTTAAGGCTTTACTTTGACATTTTACAACATAGTACAAAAAAGCAGAAATTTGTTTCCAAACAAGCAGCCATCTAAGTGAGATGTCAACTAAGGCCACACAAAAAAAGCACACCAATGTCAGTGAGCGAAGGTTTGTAAGTCATATAATTCGAAGTCAAAGGAGGGATTAGTGTCAGAGCCTACAGTGTGAGCCTCCGGTTTGTAGAAGGCTATGGATGACAGTGGGAGGTCAGCATACATTTGTTCATATTGGGGTTTATCTCCGATGTATTGTGCCATTGGAGTGACCCTCTTGGATTTGTGATGTTTTTCTTTTTTTCAGGATATGAAACCCAGTATTGATGAACCTATAGGGACAGCAAATAGAATAAGGGTTTCTGGGGGTACAGTGATGGGGTGGGAGTGGGGGTAAAAGGGAGCTGATGTCAAAGAGTTCAAGAAAAAAAAGACTGTCTTCAAACTGACTGTGGTAACAATTATAAAACACTGCTTGATGGAATTCAGCTATGGAATAATATATCTGTATTAGCTCCCAATAAAATGGTTTTTCAGAAAAGAAATATTATATTCAAATTTATTAAATTTGATTCTACTATATTCAAATTTACTAAAATGTAATACATACCCAACGTTAGCTTTCTCTGGAAAGTCCAAAGTTCCTCCATATATAAAATACATCATAACCTTCATTTCTACCTGGTTTATACTGGAATAAAAAATGAAAAAATGAACTCAAACTTAGACATTACTAAGGTTTGACTGATGTTGTTCAATTGAACATCCTCTCACAGACGGGTCACAAGGAAGGGATGAGCTAACCAGGTGCAGTACAGCATCAACAAAAGACACAACATTCCTCTAGTTCTTTAATGCTTCCTCCCCACCACTATCATGACCCCAGTTCTACCTTCCAGTTCTACTGGCTAGACCAGAGCATCTCTTGACACAGAATCCAGGACAGATAAATCCCCGAGGACCAATAATGAGAGTAGCAGTTCCATGAGGGTAGCGGGATGTGTGGGGAGAAAGGGGAGAAAGGGAAACCGATAATTGTGATCAAACTATCACCCTCCCCCACCAGGGGGGTGAACAACAGAAACGTGGGTGAAGGGAGTCAGCGGATGTGTAAAATATGAAAATAAAAATAATTGATAAATTATCAAGGGGTTCACGAGGGTGGGAGGTTGGGGGGAGGGGAAAAAAGAGGAGCTGATACCCATGGCTCAAGTAGAAAGAAAATGTTTTGAAAATGATGATGGCAACCTATGTGCTTGATACAATTGGTGTATGGATTATTATAAGAGCTGTAAGAGCCCCCAATAAAATGATTTATTAACCAAAAAATAAATAAATAATTGATGCCACAATACACTTGTGCTCTCCCCATAAACTTTTAGCCAAGATAAAGTTCTATCTCACACATATCTGAAGAATATGTTCTTCAAATATCACCTAGGCAACTGTACCACTAATTTAAAAGAATGACTTCAGCAAAATATTTTATATGCTATAAAATGTGACGAGAATATTATCAAATCATTTGTTATCCATGGAACATCATCTATCATGAACTTTTAGAGTTAAATGGAATCCTTGAAGTCACAGACCATCCCCTGACTCGTTAGCAAATCGTCTCCTTAGCATCTTATACAAGCTACTCGGTCTGTTTAAATGCCTTCAATGGACAAGCCTGTTGACTAGAAAGATTCTCATTACAGTTTCTTAGCCAGTGTCTCTAGCTCAATGAGTCTCCTTACACAAAGTAACGATGTGATTGAAGAAGCAGATTAGAGTGAAAACCTTGATGTCTCCCTGACTACTGGATCTCCAACTCTGAGTTCAGGACCTTCCTCCTCTTCCCAACTCCCCTCCCAGCCTCCCAGATTTGATCCTCTTTCTTTAAATTCTATTTTGCTAATAGCACAGTTGGAGGATTTCTTGCATCTTGACTCCCGGGAGGGGATTGGATTTCTCCTTCCTTCTCTGCTAGACCACTGGGGAAACAAACGGTGATGAGGAAGCACACCTGCCATGAGAGTCAAACTTTCTCTTAGGTTTATGGCATCTTGGGATGCCATACACAAGCCACGTCTGGCTCTCACATGAAACAAACAAACACTGCCATCCACCACAGGGACCCTTTAGGTCAGAGTAGAACTGCCTCTGTGGGTTTCCGAGACCAAGTCTTTAGAGGAGTAGAAAACTTCTTCTTTCTCCTATCTCAGAGTAACACACACAAATGCTGTAACAATTTTGTTCTGCCTGATTTTGGACAGAAAGGGACGCTGTTATTTATTGGGTGCCCTCAAAACTCCAGCAGACATTATTCATCTAGTCTGAATCTGGGGTTAATCTCAATCGTCTCCCTCATCGCATCCTATTACTTATAGCTTCAAAAGCCCTCTTAAATCCAGCCTCTGCTGCTTCCCACTTTGCTGCCCTGGTTTAGTATCTTCTTTCTCAGATTTCCTGCCTGAGATCTGCTTGCATCCATTTTCTACATTCTTACTAGAGTGACTTTGCTAAAATGCAAATCTGATGTACCCACCACTTTAAAACCCTTCCACAACTCTCCACAGCCCATTTTAAGAAGTCCCAATTCCTAAGCCCAGTGTAAAGTCTTTCTATCATCTGACCTCTGGTTCTCCCTCCCGAGCAGCTGCTCGGAGGTCACGAACTACTCATTTCTCATATGTGCACCACTTCTAATTCTCTATACGTCCATGCCTTAGCACGTGCTGCTTATGTGCTTAAAGTGCTCTCCTCCACTATTCATCTCTCTGACACAGGACATGTGGTTCTTTATCAGATTATTTCCTTAATATATCCCAAATCAAAAAGGGGGACAACCCACTGAATTAAGAATTATAATAGTAATTAACATCAAATGTACTACTCCAGCAAACCTGTGACTGACAGCCTCAGTAATTATTTTTGTATATTTCCCTGATAACTAACCCCAACTATTTGTGCAAATAGCATCCAGCCATGAAAGGATTGATTCTGTAAAAGTGTGAAGTTAGCTTACATTGGCATCTCTCAATAGGGGTTTAAAAAAATTAGTACCAAATTTTTTTAATCAAATCAAATACTATATTAATAGAAGATTATTATGCCCCAGGGGGATGATCAATAAGACTTGCTACCATAAATTAACAAGAAACTTTTGAAAGCGAGCCAAAGGCAGATAAAAAAACCAACCAACCAAACAAACAGATCCAGGAATGGGTTTTGAGCTCGCACTAAATCCTAGCTCCAACTTAAGAACAATTTGTTCTTCCATCATGCCCCTGTTTGATACTTGCCCTCAGAAAAAGAACATAAAAGATAGGGGTGTTGTAGCAACATGTGGCAAAGAAATTAGACGGTGCCCGGCTATCATATAAAATGGCATCTGAAGTCTTAAAGGCTTGTCTCCAAACAAGCAGCCATCTACGGGAGCTGTCAAGTAAGTCCCCATGGAAGAAACACACCATCATCAGTCACCAAAGGACTGTAGTCCATATAATCCAAAGTGGGAGGAGGGATTACTATCAGAGCCTACATTGTGAGAATCCAGTTTACAGATGGCTATGGATGACAGTGGGAGCCCAAGCTGTATTTGTGAGACCTACATAGGAAATAAGCCTCTGGTGACCTCCCTCTATCTACAATTGGGGGATGGGAGGAGAGTGGTAAACAGTGCATTGCACAGATGGGTAAAGGAGATCAAAGGGTTAAACCTGACTTGAACAGTTAAAACTTTGTCAGTTGATCCCCTTTTGCTGGACCTGACCTGTTTTCCAACATTTTCTGTTTTTTCTCAGGTATGATATGTCATTGGGGGTCACCTTCTTGAAGTTGTGTTATATGTTTTTCTGTGTATGAAACCCAGGATTGATGGACCTATGGAGACAGCAAGTAGAATAAGGGTTTCAGGGAGGGGCAGTGGAGGCGGCAGGGGGCAGCAAAAGGGAGACAATGTCATGGAGCCCAGGAAGGAAGAGAATGTTGGAAATGGACTGTGGCAGCCATTGCACAATGCTCCTTGATGTGACTGAACTCTGGAAGGACAGGACGTATGTATCCACTCCCAAATAATAGTAAAACTTTTTAAAAAGACAAGTGAAAAATAAAGAATTTAGAGAACAGATCCATATATAAAAATATTAGTAAACATCGATTGAATGCTTATGGGGCCTGTGGTGCAGAGTTTAAGGACTTAGCTGAAAACTAAAAGTTCATATGCAAACATTGCCAGCCACTTCACAGGAAAAAGATGTGGCAGCCTGCTTCTGTAAATATTTACAGTTTTGAAAACCTTAACCCTTATGAAAATAGTAATAATTTATAATCTATCAAGGGGTCACAAGGGTGGAGGAGGGGAAGGAAGGGGGGAAAAAGAGGAGCTGATACCAAGGGCTCAATAGAAAGTAATTATCTAGAAAAGAATGTGGCAACATATGCCTGATACAATTGATGTATGGATTGTAATAAGAATTGTAAGAGCCATCAATAAAATGATCAAAAAAGGAAAAGAAAACCTTAACCCTATGAGGCAAATATACTCTCCCTAGAGGAGTCACGAAGAGTCGGAATCAATTCTATGGGCTAAGAGTTTAGCTGTGTTTTGTTGTTGGTGTTGTTGTTACTGGGCATTTATTATGAACCAGCCACTGTGCTAATAACCATTCTGAATGTCCTTAGCCCATTTAATCATGATATCTCCAGGGAGCAGATATTATTAGTCTCATTTTATAGAAAAAGAAACTAAAATTAAGGAAAATGCCCAAGGTGAAACAGCTAATTTTACATTGGAATCAAATCCAGGCAGATTAACTCACAACCTAGGCCTTAACCAGTGTGCTACACACACGTCAACTATCACATTTATCAAAGATGACATATAATCTTATTTACATCTTCTCTCCCTTTCGAGACTGAGTACTGTGAGGGTCGACTTTGTGGCTGATTTATCATTGCCTCTCCAGTCCTACCAGATGGTTAGCATTGACTCGGTGCCCTCAGGATCAAAGAATCCCCACCTCTCATAATAACAGAGCCCTGCCCGGGAAACAGGGTGAGGGTAGAGAGGCTAAGACCCCACAGCTTGTTAGGCATTCTAATATTCTTAAGAGAAACAATGAGGACGCCAAGAAGAAAAGAAACACGAGTTGCAGAGAGTAGGTGTGAGAAGGAGGGCTTGCTTTGAATCTCTGGTCTGAGATAATACATGCTAAATCAATATTGATGCTCTAATAGATGGTGTATTAGGGCATTTATAGCATCTTCTAAACCTTTAGGGCTCAGAGGATATAAAGATTTTCCCATTAATTTAATAAATGTGTTGTGGCCCTGACTATGGCTAAGTACTGGTATCTGCTGATTTAAAACCATGTGCTTCCTTCATTCTTAGATATAAAAAGTCAAATCTCAGAATACTCTCATTTATATAGTTTACTTTCCTCCTAAATGGATATGACAAGATTGGATCTCTTAAGGGGGCCATATTATCTATATTTAATTTATCTAAAACACTAGCAATATTCCTAGAACAAATACCATACACTTTCCCTCCCAGATTCTAAACAACCATTCTTATGAACAGTAATGAAAATTGGGCACTTATGTTTGAAGAATGGTTTCTTTTTGAGAACTGACATGTTTAAGCAGAAGATCATAATGACTAACTAAAAGCATAGTTTTATGAGAGTGAACACCGAGATA